TGTTTGAGATTTTGTTCAAATGAAGCAGCAGGTATATTGAGAGTCTTACCAATCTAAAAATGCAGACACAAAAAGCGGAATCTAAAAGGATGTATACATTTTCTCAAACTGATTGATCAATCTCCTCCAGACAAGACCAAGAGAAAATTAAACTGCAATTCAGAAAAATACACTCAAAATACGATGGCAGCTCAATTAAGTTCATCTGAGTATTTTGACGAGTAAGCATCAACCATCTTTAACTGATGGATCAATGGAGCCAAAAAAAAACAAAAAAACAATGCATCTGCGGTAATCTGTGTTTTGGACATCACACTAGAATTCCCTTTAAAGCATCGTTTGTGCCAAGGGCATGGATGAACCCAAGGAGCAGATCCTATTTTGTCCTTCCAAAACCACTTAGCCAGATCACAGTAAGGGGTTACGCTGTTTTTGTTTTTTTTTGGCAAATCATAACTATACATGAGGAAATTTTACAACCCATCCATCCATCTTCTTCCGCTTTATCATGGACCGGGTTGCGGAGATAGCAGTCTAAGCAAAGATGCCCCGACTTCCACACACACCTCCTCCAGCTGCTCTAGGGGGAGCCCTGAGGCGACACCAGGCCAGCTCAGCTCAGTCCCTCCAGCAGGTCCTTCCATGAGGCCTTCTCACAATGGGACATGCCTAGAACATCTCCCAAGGGAGTCGGCCAGGAGGCATCCAGAACAGATGCCCGAGTTACCTCAGCTGGCTCCTTCAACGTGGAGGAGCAACAACTCTACTCTGAGCTCCTCCTGGCAAACTGAGCTCCTCACCCGATCTCAAAGGTTGTGCCCAGCCACCTTGTGAAGGAAACTCATTTCGGCCGCTTGTATTCGTGATTTTGTCCTTTCAGTTGTTACCCAGATCTCATGACCATAGGTGAGGGTGGGAACGTAGATTGTTCGCTAAATCGAGTGGTTTGCCCTGACACTGCACTGATCTGTCAATATTTTACAGAAATTATAATAAAACTTACCTTGATTTTAACTAAGAAACAGACAAAACCAGTTGATTGTTTTTCATTCAAGGCTGTCGCGCACTTTAGGTCACTGGATAGCTGACTCAGTTTTCACTATTATGGTTAAAACGACTTGTATCAACTAACTCATTGAAATTACTTTAAAGAAGAAGGGTTTACGAGGAGCCAGAGAATTTTAATTAGCTATCGTTTACAAGAGCTGAATTTGGATGAGAGGTACCCTACAGCTTGTAACTACAGAATTCGACTGTCTTTAAAAGCTTTAATTTTGAAGAAACCCCTGAAGCAGGCATATGTTTGTTCTTTCCCTTTCATAGACTCAACACCAGGTAAATGGCTGGGCTATGAAGTTGCAATAAAAACTTCAATTAGATGTGTCAAGCGCTTCAAAGACAGTGGAGCCTCAAACACTGAAACTGAGGAGGAATTTACCTTTTGTCTTCTAGGTTGGGGTTTCTCTGCAAGTTCCCTGATTAAATCTAGATATCTATGCTAACCATGAGAATCTTTACTGAAACTTAATATAAATGAAACTCCTGTAATACCATCCCCAGAAAACTTTTTCTCAGCTGCCCAACAGGTGCCATCCACACAGATAATGACCAGGTCTGCTGGGGAGCAGAACTTTATCACAAAGAAGACCAGAAATATCACCCATAAAGCTGTTTTTTTGTTGTTGTTTTTTTCAGGAAAGAGAAAAACTAAGTAAAATCAATCTGTAGCTTGTTGGTAGAAGAGAGAATGAAAAAAAATTGTGTTGCATTAATGCCAAGAAATTTATTGCTCTACTGTTCCGGATAATTTTAGTCAGAAGTCGAAACAGGCTTGATCACATACTCGTCAGGCAACAAGATTCAGCATTTCAAATGAGTTACTTAGGAGGTACCCGCACAACTCATTCCATAACTGGTTCAACTGTTCAGGAGCTTTCCACATAGCCACAGCAGTCTACACCTGGTAGTAAATGCAATTCAAGATCACCTCAAACTTTCACACATTTATTCTACAAAACTGACCAGCGTAAAAGAAGAAACATTTAAAGCATTTTGCCATTTTGGCAAGTCTTCCCTCGGCTCCTGACAGGGACACTATATCACATAAATAAATGCATTCGGTTACCTGTGACAACAAACCAGACCAGGTTATGTATTCTTTGACGTGATCATGCATGTTCAAAGTTTCGCTTAGTTTAGCCTGAATGTTAACTTTTGACTGCACAATTGATACAAAGCTCACAAGGCTTTAATCCAGTTTTAATTTACAAATAAGCCTAACTCCTATGGCATCAGTTCGTTCCCAAAGCAGACTACCTACAGAGAGCTTCCTCCTTTATAGCAGACTTAATTACAAATTAACTCTCTTTTGATTTGAAATCACATAAATCTATTGTAATGTTGAAGGGGAATAATAAAATATACTTTGCCAAGTGGTAATCACAAGATAAACAGTAATAATTTTCTTCAATACCGTTCCTGCAGTATAAGTATTTTTAAAAGGCAAATCTCAGAGACACTTCGGTTGCGAGCAGCTGCAGCATCACATACATCACCATACATTTAAAGGTAAAGTTAGCCTTTAAATGAACAAGCTACCTTTATCTTCAGACATTTGTGTAATAAATACCACTGGGTCACAGAGGCACACGGCTTGATGATTGTGTGGTCACAACTTCTCCTCTCAAGTTGTGCATTTCACTAGTGTGAAGTGAAAGTGTCAAAACCCTCTATAGCTGTAGCAACACAAATTCTTTTCATATGCTTTCATGCTTGTAATTCCTGTTGCTTCTTAGTGAATAATGCATTGTATGTGTGCCAAAAGTCCTAAATATCACTGCGCACTTAAAGAAGAGTGAGAGTCTGCAAAGAGAAACTACAATTGTGATCTAAAAACAGCTATCATTGACAAGTAAAAGGAATTATGTCAATCTAGTGAAAATGAATGTAAATGGCACCCTTTACAGACAAGGGAGGGCATCAAAGTGCTTTTACAGAACCAACAAAAAAACGATGATAAAAATACTGATGCATTTAGCACCCTAGTGGAATAAAGAGAAAATTAAAAATATTACTTTATTTATATTTTTTTTTACTATTTACTATGCTGTAGCTGGTATGCTAATGATCAACTCACAATTCAGTAAGTATTTAATATGTTCTTGTTCTTCTCTTTAATTCAAACACATCAGAAATAGAACTTTAATAATAATAATAATAATAATAGTGTGAAACAGTGGTATTAATGCCAAGATCATCATACCACCTGACTGTCAGCCTGGCCCATGCCTGAGCTATAACATTGAATTTCTAATTCCAGGAAGACGTTCCTAGAAATGTTCACCTTGCTGTCCTCTCTTTCTAGTGACAAGATTTTCACTATTATTTCTTGCTCATCACAAGTCCAGTAGTTGTAAAGTTTTTCTACTGTTGATTCAAATGTAGATATATCTCAATTTAGGCAGGTAGCTATTATTGTATAGCTACATGCTTCTCAGTAAAAAAGCAGGTTGCTTTAACTTTCCTATTTTAAAAGGGATGCCTCTTCAGAATTATACCTCTAGGAAACAAGCTAGATATATAGTATTGAAGAACCAATCTATTAGACTGAGATCCGAATCCGTTATCGTAACCTTTCTTGCTCTGTTCAGTTACCAGCAAGTACTTTGAAATCTGACCACCTTTCGTTTTTGACCTATAAATGCATGTGAACGTGTGTACACTTCAATGTTCTGTGTCTGCTGAGTTATAAAACTTGCATGTGTATACTTTTATGGTCGAGCAATGGCAACCTTATAATTTCTTGTAAACCAAAAGGACTTGCAGAACACTTTTATATATGTTATTCGGGGAAAAAAACATTACTTGTCAAACATCTGCATTATCTGGTAGGACCTTGAAAAAAAAAATAATAATAAAAAAAAAAAATTAATAAATTTCCAATAAAGTGTCCCTTTACTAATTTTAAGTGGCAAGAAATTGTTAAAGTAAACAGAATGGTGGTTCTGTGGTTTTTCTTCAAATTACTTTCATTTATTTGCCCCCACCCATCCTCACCACCTTCTACAGAAGCACCATAGAGAACGTTCTGACCAGCTTTCTCACTGTGTGGTGTGGAGGCTGCAGCGCCTCAGACTGGAAGAATGTGAGGAGAGTGGTGAGAACAGCAGAGAAGATCATTGGGGCTCCTCTTCCCTCCATTAAAGACATTTCATCCTTGCGCTGCATGTCCTGAGCCCAATCAATGACCCCTCACACCCCCACCATGGACTGTTCTCCCTGCTGCCCTCTGGGAAGAGACTTTGAAACATCCAATGCAGGTCCAGGAGATTCCACAAGTTTCTTCCCCACTGCCATTAGACTGCTGAATGTTTTGTAAAACAGGTTATTTTATTGTATTTTATTATATCTATTATTAAAAAAACTGAAATGTTAGAATGTAAATTAACAGTCATATGTTTATATTACTGTTTTTATATATGTTTTATTATTTTTCAAGGCTGCACTTAAAAAAATGAAATTGTTTACAGAGCTGCTCTAACCGAAATTCCTTTTTTTTACACTTGTGTAAACAAAATGACAAAGAAATCTAAGTTCAAGACACAATCCTCAAATTAAAATGCCTTATTTTCTCAGACTCAGTGTGAGGTTATGCCACAACAATAAACAAATATATCAATTTAAATGGCTTTTTAAAACATCTTTACATCGAGAATCAATCACAAACTGATTCAGATGAGTTAATATTCAATGGTCCCAGTTTAAATCCAGTCACATTGTTCTGCAGGAGTAGCGCTTTTTGAACCGCATGTGATTTTAGATTTTTGCATATCACTTCCCAAACAAATCCTGCGGTGGCCTGAGTAATGTGGCTTGTGCCATTGTGGTTCCAATGTTTTGCATGTGCAAGCTGCACCGTACAATCACGTCTAACAGTTTGGCTTTGAGTGCACTAGGGTCAAATTGAGCAACCTTTGCAATAACAAAAAATAAAAACCTACCTAAGAGCAGCAACTTCAGCTCCCTGCGCGAGTCTCTCTTATCCCGCCGGAGTTGCTTTTCGATCTCAGCGTTGATTCGCTTGGACTCCTTCGCCTCCTCACTCAGGCAACAAGCCATCATGGGCTCCAAAGTCATCACCGCATGAGCAGGGGGGGGGGAGCACGTCAAACAAGCAGCGCTGGGCTACACCACCACGAAAACTATCTGAGTGCAAGGCTCCACTTTCTATGTGACAGTCTTGCTGCAGAATCTGGCCTCCTCGGCTGCTGTTAAAATAGCTCCCAAATGTTTAATATTTGACAGCTTTGCCTGGGCAAAAATATGAAGTTCACAATGAATGAATCACAAAAAAATAGCTGCAGTGGTATATGGGATTAAGATGCCTCAAGATGTACGATTAACCGTTTGAATATTGATGCACTCTTCAAATTGAGCTGAGTTTGGGTGCGTTAACTGAACAGGCTAGCCTGGAAAACTAGCTAGCTCCTGACGTGCGAAACGAGTTATCAAATTCGCCTCAATGTAAACTGTCTTTAACAATTTGGCCAATTTGAAAAAAAAAAAGCTAAAAAAAAAAAGAAGCAAAAAATCAACTTCAGTCCCAGAAGCGGTGGGACACAACAGGCTGCCTGGGCCACATCTGTACGATCCCCTCTGCTGGTCGCCTGGCCGAGTACAAGCCTAGCCGCCCAGAAAAACCTACCCTGGAAGATACGCCCGAGCTGTGTCAATTAACCGCTGGCAAACTGTCCATCCAGGCAACTTGCCTCACTTTCTCCTGCTCCTCGGACAACAGGCCTGGGAAAAATCCAAACGAGAGCTTAGGGCTGATGCTGATATCTCTTCCACACTGGTACCCAGTAAGCAGGGCAGGCTAGTTACTGTTAGCTGGGAAGGCTAGCTAAGGAAGCCATCCCTAAAAAAAAAACTGTCTGGACTGACAGATAGCCGCCATGCCTTTAGCCTCAGGCTTTCTTAAAGGACCACGGTGGCATAAACCCCTCGAGATGCGTAAATAGATAACTGACAACTAAATGGACACTTTCTCCATTTTCTCGCTCCTTTAATTTTTTCCAGGGGAACCGAGTCGCTCTTCGTCTCCCACTCCACAGCCCCGGTGTGGCGCTACTGTTACTGCTGACGTCACTCAGCGATGTAGCTGATTGGCAGAGGATCTGTCCAATGAGAACAGAGGATATGGGACCCTGTGGATCAAACCCTTTTTAATGGAGAATTTTAACAAGTTTGCTTGAGAGGAAGTAGTGCTTTTATTCTGGAGGCGTGTCCGTGTAAAAGTTGAGTATTTGTTTGACAGGCAACGCCCATCTTCTGTCAAACAGCAGCAGCTCGAAACACAGGGTTGTTTGCTTCAGTGATGCAGAATAAAACAATATGACCTGTCACGTTTGCTTTACTGAACACGGAGAATCAGTTTTATTAGTCATTGCAGATGTAGGTCACTTAACAACGAAATTCACCCTCTGCATTTAATCCACCCCTTAGTAATGCGCAGCTTGCAGCAATCTTGGGGGTCTATGGAGTTTGAACGGGTACTTCCAGCATTCTTAGAATTAATATGTTTAGTCTAATAGTCCTACAAAACAGTAAAGATTTTCCTTAAAATGTTGAACAAGCAGATGAATACATAATAAAACACGACAATCAGCAGTCTTATTCTTGGCAATGTTGCTGGAGAATTGATTGTGTTTCCTTTTTCAGGTTTTGCATTTGATCCTATAAAATGTTATTACTCCAGAGGGCGCTGTTCAATTATTTAAGGACTGTTATCAGAAATAGATCAAATACCATGGTTTGAAATGATCTTTTTAATGTGCCTCTCTTTGTCATTAAGCTTATATGAAAGGAAGTTTTCACAACTGAAACTAAGAGCATTAATAAATACATACTGCAACATATTCTAATAGATGTTATTTAAAACAAAATCTAGTCAATTTTAACTTCTTTTAAATTATTCTTTATCTTTATTTGAATCAAACTCCTTATTTTTAGGGTCAATTTTATGTTTTTCTTCAAATATTTTCACAAACCTACCTAAAATAATTGATTGGATTAAAGACATTTAGCTATAAAAATATGAATATTTCAGTTCAGCTTCCTAACAGTTGTTTACTGTAGTTACTGATTCTGACAGTCAAAGAAACTGTCATTGGTGTCACAGCAGTAAGCTGTCAGGAGTTGCAGTAAAGCCGTGTGTTTTGGTAGATTGCTGTTTTCTCTTAAATAACTGAACTGCAGTCTAGGTAGATTTCTTGTTTTCTTTTTGCTTTTTTTTTGCATTTATTGAGATGTTCAAGCTGGAGCATGACATAAATATGCACTTAAAGTAAAACTGGATTATGGATAAAGGTTGTTTGTATTGTTTGTCTCTATGTTGCCCTGTGATGGACCGGGGACCTGTCCAGGGTGTACCCCGCCTCTCGCCCGTGGATAGCTTGAGATAGGAACGTGCACCACTTGCAACCCTGCTTGGGATAAGCGTGACGGACAATGGATGGATGGATGTTTTTCACTGGCTTTAAAAAAAAAAGGATTAATCTTGAATCTAAAAACTGGAAACTCTCTATGTGTGTTCTTCTCCAGGCCCACAGAGAGGAATCTTTTACCAGTTAAGAAATATAGATTTATGAAAACAATTGAAAGAACAGCTAATATCAGATCAGGAATTCAAGTTTAAAAAAATAGCTTATTTTTCATGATCGATAATAACTCATGTCAGGTCACAATATCCCAGTCATTATCTATAACCACATTCTCAGCCTAGAAAATTCCTACCTTTAAACACTCCAAAAAAAATTATTAATAGCCTCTTAACTTTTCAAAACCATAAAAACTTAAAACTCAGGGCAGTTTCTTTAGGTTATCTCCTTAATCTTAAAAAAAAAAGAGTAACTGTTATCATACTAATCATCATAAAGTATAAAGGTTTAAATTCACACTTGCAATGATCAGCACAAGCTGTTTTTTTTTTTTCACACATAATTACACATCATCAAAGATATCATCCAAACTTTGAGAGGTATTCTTCCCATCTCTGACAAGTTTGCTGGTTTGAGTAGATGCGAAGATGGAGAGAACATACATTGTCATGCTTGATAAAACAGACAAAAAAAAAACTGTCAGAGGTTTTCTATATCTTTGGATTGGGACAGAGGCTCACCTTTGAGGATAAAATGACATTTGTTGCCTAGAAACAATGGTAAGGCTGTCACGATTTGGTGGTGTTGGTAGAGGACCCAAATGCAGAGACGAGTTGGTTCAGATGAATTTAAGTGTTTTAATGGGTTTTCAGGTTCTGAGGCAGGAGGTAAACAGGCTCAGAGGCAGGAGTCAAAAATCCAACAAAAATATCTCACAAGACAGGAGTCAAAAAATCCAACAAAAATATCTTCAGAACCAGAATCTAAGAGACATCAGGGAAAAACCAAAACTAGGAACCAGGAAGAGACAAGGAAGGACGACAGAGAACTGACCAGAGGTTTGATGAGATGTAAGGCGAGGATCCAGCAAACAAGAACTGAAGAGGGAGGGTTTTTAAAGGGGACAGAGACAAAGAGAGAGCTGACGAGGAAATTGGCAACAGGTGCTGGCAGGACAGAGAAAACAGCAAGGGAGGACAGAGCAGAAAACAGAGCTAGGGATAGAGGACACAAGAAGGCAGCAGAGGACAACAAATGGAAAACCTGGAGGACAGGAACTAACAAGAAAAAAACAAAATAATAATTAGACATTAAAACAAGGAGCAAAGTAAGACTGAATACTCTAAATAAACATAACAAAACCAAGACTGTGACAAAGGCTGAGATCAAAGCATATCAATGTGTTTGAATGGCCAATCGAAGATGAATTGTAATCAAATTTAAAATGCGTGGTGAGACTTGAAGACCGATTATCATTGATTTTAATGGAAATTTAGCTATTTTGTAATGAAGAATGACCAAAGAATGACTTGGAGGTATATGTGGTCACAGTGCCCGACTTTTTAGATTTTATTTGTAAAAAAAAAAACAAAAAAAAAGAACATTTACACCATACATAATTTTCCTTCTACTTATATACATATTTGTTATTTCATACAATTCCAACAAATTTGGGAGGATAAAAATAAAAAATTAGAATACTATGCCAGGGCACTGCCTGCCTGCAATGCTGCATAAGTGTTGTTGAGAAAAACCAGTAATCTAAAAGGATCACGGAAAGTTTCAATTTTCAACGTTGCAAGTTATTGTACGAAGAACAAATCAAATACTTAAACTCCAAGTGCAGTTTGATTATTGTAACTCTTTATCCTTTGAAGTTTGCTTTACTTCAACTTCTTGTCTACAATATTTCACATATTTTAACAATAATACAGCTCTACCATACATTGAGTTTTTAAAGGTAGTGCAAATTCTGCGAATCACCAGAGTCTGTAACCCTGCATCACAGTATAATTAGTGATTAACATAGAAATCTTTGGGGGAGTGTTGGCCTACTGGTTAGAGCAGTGTACTTGTGCTCTGAGAAGGTTGCAAGTACCCGGTTCGATCCCGAGCAAAACACTTAACACTGCTCCACACCACACCACACAATGGCAGCCCACTGCTCCCCAAGGGGGTGGATCAAAATGCAGAGAATAAATTTCCCCATTTTTGGACAATAAAGGGATTTACATTTACAAATCAGCTCGTTTAAATTACTTAGTCACAATATAATGTAATCTTAAAGGTCCCATTTTAAATGGAGTTATTAGCAAAACTGAAACTGTTTCAGAAGGTCCACAATGTCTTTATCAGCTGTGCTATTTAATGTGACATAAAGCTGGGAGTAAAGAAAACCTAAAAAATAAATGTAGGATGCATTAAAGGGCCATTGTTTAGGGATTTATTGGTGTTAATCTGTACCAGTTTGTGTACCTTTGTTTGACATTAAAATGCCTTTAATAAGATAATGAATTATTTTATATCTGCAACCCTAATGAGGTACATCCTGCACATGATTGGTCACAGATAAATAAACTTAAAAAAGACAGATACATTTAAATGTGAGCTCAGGGTTTATTTTCAACAAACAAAGGGGAGCTGCAAAGACAGGGAGGTATTTGAATAGATTTTAAGTGGTTGTGATACTAATCTGAC